TGCAGCTGGACCCCAACTTCTCCTGAGATCCACTCCCTATCTCAGACACATCAGCTTTCCTAAAGCATGGATCTGGTCAGGTTCCTCCCCATCAAAAATGTCCACAAGAGCCTTGCCTCCTGTGTCTGGGATAGCCTCAGCCTGGCATCCAGGCTGGCACAGTACATGCCAACCTTTTTTGACCATCTTTTCTCCCACCATTTCCCAACATGTGCACTACTGTGTCTGTCAAAAGAAATGATGTGCTGTTCCCAAACACACACAATTCTTCTCAAATGTTGAACCACTCCCTACCTGTGTACCCACCCTTCAAAGCACCACCTCCTCCACGAAGCCCTCCTCTTGCTGAATGCCTGTGACTCATCCCCTTCTGAAACCCTCAGCACTGTGTGGATCTCCTTGGTGGCCCTCGTGACCTCCTCCTAACTGCTGGACCATGCCACCCACCCCACCACCATGAGTCCAGGAAGCAGCCACCCAGCAAACATCTGAGACACCAGAGTGGCCAGCACCATGTCATACAAACACCAGGCCCCTCCTGGGAATGTCTATTGGCCAAGGGTTGACCACAGGACAGGAAATTACAGGAACATCTCCCAGGACCTCTGGTAAGCTTTACACACTGCCGATTGTCCGGGCCTGCCCACCCTGCCCAGGGAAAACCCCATCGCAATCATATGCCAGGCATCGTGGCTCAGCCTTGGTAAGGGTTGTTTTTATGGTCCATGTCATTAATCCAGAGCCAACAGCTCCTAGGAGCTGTGTACACAGGAGAGGGAAGCTGCTATTCACTCCCTCCAGCTCCAGTTGGGCAAAAAATGTTTTCTTTTCCATTGCGTAAGATGCTTCCAATGGTGCCAAACCTAACACCACTGACAGGAGGAGATAAAAGCCCCGTGGGTGTGAGTAAGGAGCAGAGAGTGGCTGCATGTCTGTGAAGGACACATGGACAAGCAAGCAGGAGCTACAGGACCAGCCAGACACACGTGACCCTTCCAACAAGCAACAGAGAGAAAAACAAGCTCTGACTGAAAGCAGAGCCAACGTTCCACCTGCAGGGCCCTTCGTTTCTCACTCCGCAGGTGTGGTCTAGGTGGTGCGGCTCCGCGGGGGACGCGGGGCTGCAGTGACAGGCCCAGGAGGGGGAGAGAGGCCAGGTTTTGTAAGCTGGGCATTCAGGTCTGGCCATCAGAATAAACCTAGACCAAGGCATCAGAAACCCAGACAGAAGCCCAGCTCACCCTAAAAGTCAGAGAAATGGCCTGACCTCAGCTCCTCCCTTTCTCTCCTGTCAAGTGGGGACAGCAACTGTCCTGATGCTCACAAGTGGCTGCCTGAGGTCCCTCCACGAGGTCAAGTATCCAGGGGCTCAAAAAAGGTACAGAGCGCCCTGGCCGGTTTGGCTCAGCGGTTAGAGCGTCCGCCTGCGGTCCTGAGAGACCCAGGTTCGGTTCCCGCTAAGGGCGCGTACCTCGGTTGCAGTTTGTCCCCGGCCCTGGTTGGGTCGTGTGGGTGGCAACCACTCGATGTGTCGCTTTCACGTCGATGTTTCTCTCTCTCTCTCTCCCTCCCACTCTATCTGAACAAAATATCGAAAAATGTCCTCGGGTGAGGATAAAAAAAAAAAAAAAAAAAAGGTACAGAGCCTCACACATGCGGGCTGACCACAGTGCAGTGGAGCAGATAACACAGGCTGGCTTTGCAAGTCCCACCTCTGGCCCAGTAATCCCACCCATGAGGAGTTATCATAAAGAAATAATCCTGATTAGAAAATATAATCTTTACACATGTGGGTGCTCATCACAGTATAATTTATGAGCATAGAAAAACCAGAATGCACCTGAGGTAGCTGAGAAGAGGGAAATGATAAAGTGAACTCAGTGAAGCCACTCAAAACGTGCTCAAAGACTGTGATCACACAGAAAATGGTGATGAGCAACATTAATGAAAATGTCAGGAGATCCAGCTTTACTTCTATCCTTTCATTTCTGCATTTAAATGAAGGTTCATTTTATACTTTGGTATGTTAAAAACACTCAAAATGCTTTAAATATGGAGTGTAACTCCCACTTTGCCTAAATTATTAAAAAGCTACATGTTGGGAAAATATAAGATAATCAAGAATAGTGATGATGTTTATGTAGTAGTAAAAGGATACCTTTCTTTCTATTTTAAAATGTGGTTTTCAGATATTCTCTTATGGAAGAGTGTTGCTTTTAAAACAGAAAAAGAGGTAAACTTATTTTTAAGGTAGTTTAAGAACAGAAGGGTTATCCTTATGCTATGGGGGCTGGGGGAAGGGGAGGTTTGGGTACAGAAAAATAACCTGGATTTCTGGGGCAAACACCAGATGGGAACCCCTAAGACAAACTCGGGAGAATACGGCTTTCCTGACTTGGCCGTCCTGGGTGGAACCAAGAACGTATGACCCACCCATGCTCCATTCTCACTTTTCCAGAGAAAAAAGCACACTGTGAACTAAAATAGCACCAATTACACAAGAACAAATTCATCAACAAAGCCCACAACAACAGCACTTTCTATGATTTAAAGTCATGAATAAAGAGCTGTGGCAGCAGTACGGAGCTGTGGCAGAATCAAGACGGCACTGACAGTGCCCGAAAACAAAGCGTCCTTCGAAACACTGCAGGGATGCCAAGGGCCTGCCCTGGGGAGCTCCGCACACGGCCGAGTGCTGTGCGGCAGCCAGGCTGCTCAGCAGAAACGCCGGGCTCTGCTGGAGCTCCGGGGCTGCTCATCTCCCTTTATGAATATCAGGTTGTAGTAACTCCTAGTACTCCCTTCTGAGGAAGCAGACTTTGGGCAGATGTAGACATGAATCTCTGCCAGCACATGATCGTTCATGTGAAGAACCCAGGGAAACACTGGTGTTTGGGTCTGCCCACCGCACATCTCACAGGGCTCCTTCCCCACCTCCTGACAGGCCCCTCAGAAGCACAAACCGTGCGCGGAGGGACACCAGCGATCTGATCTACTGCACGGACAGCAGAGCCTTGTCTCTGCAGACGCAGTCCCCTGGGCGTGGCCAGGCAAGCCCGCAGGGCAGAGAGGCAGAGGGACAGCAGCCTGAGGCTCCCTAACTCTTGTCCTGGGCACTTCACAATTCACCACCTGGCCCTCCCTAACACTGTGAGGCAGAAATATCTTCTTGTCCTGACAATCCCCAAAGAGGGTTGTCTATTTCCCCTCCCTCTGGTGCCCCAAAGCATAACCTGGCCTAGAGTCTAGCCCATGGTGAGCAAGGCCTAACAGCCAGCAAAGGAGGGAGGAAAAGGAAGGTCAGGCACGCCTCCTCCCAGACTTCCTGCTAGCTCCTGCCGGTTCCTCAATCACAGTGTTTCACTCAAAGCCAATCATGCAGGTAGGTCAACAGGGCTGGTCAGGCCCTAAAGGCCCATCTAACCAAACTTTTTTTTTTTTTTTTTTTGGTGGTACATGCCCCTAGCGAGAACTGAACCCGGGACTCTCTGGTTTGCAGGCTGACGCTCAACCACTAAGCCAAACTGGCCAGGGCCATCTAGTCAAACATTTAGACTAGTTTAATCATGGAACTCTTTAACCAAACAGAATCCTACTCCAAAGCCTGGTCTATGCAGTGGTCAGTGGGCTGCTAGGAGTGCAGGTGGGGGCAGGAGAGGTGGCATAAGGTAGAACCGCTCTTCCCTGGGCTCCCCAAACTACAGAACCTTAACGGGGATTCCTGTGACCCTGGACTCTTTTGAGCAAAACAACTCACTAGATCAGCCTTGTCATTTGCAGGTGGGGAAACTGAGGCCTACAAAGACAAACTGGCTCAGCAAAAGGCACACAAGCGCTGAGTGGCAGCACTAGAACCAGCACCTATGTCTGTCTGTCCTGCCTAGGGCCCAGGAGAGCAGGACCACACTGTCCTCCAGTCTGAGCACCTGCACCAGGACTGCCCAGAGAGAGCCCATACAGCTCCTGGGGGCAGTAACTGCCACTTGGAGAAGCAGGCCTCCACAGCAGACAGCTCTGCCACTTAAACGGCTATCGACCCATTGTGGAGACAGTCTAGATTTCCCTGTGGTATGACAATCTGCCAACGAAATCGAGCCTCAACCTCCAACCCCTGAATTCTTGGCTACCAGAGCCCGTCCAATGGTGGTGCTCTCGACACCCCTTTCACATCTGGTCTGCTGGGCCAAAGCAGCAGGCTCCACCAAATGCCCTGGCTGTCCCCTAGGCAAGCAGGTCCTGTCTGGTCTGGAATCTGTGGGGAACGCAACCAGTCACAGTTCAAACAGCTGCTACCCCAAGGCTCAAGTCATGGTTCACCACAGCCAGAAAGTGGGCACTATCCAGGGCTCCAGATTAAATCAAGGACCATCTGGAAGACAAGAATCCAGAAGCCTGGGACATCCCTAAGTGAGACCACCCCCAAGGCTCCTAGTCCAAGGATGACCAAACCTGCCAGCATTTCCACACAAGGCTGACCTACACACACCAGACAGTTGCATCTCTTCCGCCCTGGGAGGACCAAAGCCCAGAAAATCCTATAATTGGGCAGCAGAGTTTCAAAAAAAAAAAGTCCCATTCTGTCGTAATTTGTACCTCTCACATCTAGATTTGATATTTTAAAGTCAGATAAGTACAGATTTAAACTAGAAAGAACAGGATCACAGATCTGGATGGAGGGTCACCTAGTCCTACCTGACATTTATCAGATGAGCAAACTGAGTCCCAGAGGTAGGGTGGATGCAAGGGGCAGAGTCAGTGCTGGAGCCCAGAGGCCGGGAGTCCAGGGACTACACCACTCATACTGTGGGAGCTATGCACCCTGGGCTCTGGGCAGGGTGCTGTTACACAAGGGGCACTGCTGGCCCCCTCGCCCTCTCTCTGTGTTTCAGTGGAGCCCCTCTGATGCAGGGCACCGGCAGTATTGGAGCCAGGGAAACAGGCAAACATCAAATACCAGGGGCAGGCAGTCCAGGGGCCAGCAGTCCAGGGGCCATCATTACCTTTGGGCATGATCTGATGCATGGCAACCGAGAGGAAGAAGATGGAGTCGCTGTAGTAGGTCCCGGAGCCTGCACTGAAGTGCTTCTGCATGGCCTCCACGACAGGAAAGAGCTTGTCCGTCAGCACACTGACATCATGGAAGACGACCTGCAGTGGGGCACCAGGAAACCACAAGAATGAGCAAACCAGCTCCAGACACCCAACACACACATGGGGACAGAGGGGAGATAGGCAGTGCCTCCCCATGGTCACCGGGGTCCCAAGTGAGAGATAAAGAAATGGGAGCAAAGTGGAGTCAGCGGAGGCTGGCTCTGGGGACGGGGACATCATGTGTGGAGTGTGTGCAGGCACCAGGTGGGGGTGTAGTGGAAGAGTGGGAGTGAGGACGGGAATGGGAGCAGCCTCCCATCTGCTTTCAGCTCCTGAATGCCAAGCTGGGCCATCCTGAAGGTAGCTCTGTGCCCAGTGACTGGAAACCATGTGATACTGTCTGGCCCTGAAAGGAGGACCCTCGATACGTCTGTGTGGCTGGCTCTGGCCCCAGCATGGCCACTCCTGGTGGCCGCTACACGGGCTAGTCAAGTACGTGCTCCACCTCCCGGTCCAGCAGTATGAACAGTGACAGGGTCCCTGGAAAACGAATGACACCACAGGAAACACATCCACTGACCCACTCAGTATTTCGTGAGTGTCCCGATGTTTTGGAGGTGCTGCGGGAGGCATAAGGAATAACCTCAAAACACTTAAGAGTCTGGCAATGTCACCGCTGCTCAACAGAGCTCTGCAGTTTATTCTCACACACACACTGATCCCCATGACAACCTGGGACTTCAGGGAGGCGGACATCACTACCACTGCTCCAAATTACCAACGAGAAAGCAGAGGCTCACAGAGGTTCACTTGCCTAAGGTCATCTCGCTAATACGTGGCAGAACCAGAACTTAACCCTGGTCCCAGATTCCAAGCCCCATGTTCTTCCCATTATAAACGCACCCTCTTTCCTTCCCAGCCACCTAAGGGGAGGAGGACATCAGCAGGACCAGTGATTAGAGTAGACAGAGTACCAATAGGACCCTACCGAGTTGGTTTCCTTACTTGACATTAGTTCATATGTGAGTCCATCCCTCACAGAACCTAGCCTCATTCACGATACCAAGTGGCCATGCACTCCGCTCACACACTGCTTGTAAGTGTCCCTGCTGCTCCATGTGCCCCGCAACACCTAGAACACACCCCTGTACACCACAGGCACTCGATAAATGCAGCCCAAACTAGAAGCCCAGATATCCTTCCTTCCCCAATCCCCGCACAAGAGATCTGCTGATGCCCCTTCCCACCTCCCTCTTCCCTGGCAGCCAACAGAACAGGACAAAGCTGCCAGGCTGCCACATGCCACACAGCCACCACCGTACTAACTCCAGGGCCAAGAACCTACCCGGAACAGGGTGCCAACCGAGAAAGGAGAGGCCACACGAATCCCGACTGGCTTGCTCCCGTTGTCCGTGGCCATGCAGAAGGAAAAAAGACAGGTGTGGGTGGTGCCCGAGAAGTTCTCAGGCAGGGAGTCTCCACGGTGTCGTTTACTCTACCCGGGCCCCTTCCTGGCCCAGCTTCCTGGTGTCACCTGCCCAGCCCGCAGGCCCGGAGCCTGAGAGCCCTGCAGGGGCGATAAACCAGCCAAACCACGTTTTCCCTACTTCAGGTTCTGCTTTTGGCCAGAAACCTGTTTTTATCTGAATTCACTTAGTGTTTGCTTTTGTCCTTAGGTCTACTTAAATTTCTAAAACACTATTAGACTTACAAAAACTTTTATATGGCGTTAGTCCTCATCATTCCCCAACTACAACCCTTTAAATCTTTTATGTCCTTGGAAAAGTCTTTTTAAATGTCTTGACATTTCTAATGCACTCCTTTCCTTTACCCTTTTTCTGACTGCTTTTTTGCCTATACTTTGACATTTTCTTTTTTGTGGCCTCTCAACCTGGGATGGGAAATTCAGACCAGCTCTGCAGTTCCCCTACGCAGATACCAAATTATCTCTCTCTCCTCCCGCCCACCATGAGCTGCCCCCACTCTGCCCATGACCTCCTGACTACACAGGCATCATAAACCCTGACGGGTGTCCCCTGCCTGTCCCCCTCCCACTAGCCTTTGGCATGCCTCTCGAGGAATCTTCTGTACATACAAATCCATTTCTCTCTTTCCTTGGCTTCAAACCCTCCAAGGGGCCCTCACTGCCCTCAGTTATAGTCCCCAGTCCCCAGTGAGGCTTATGAGGCCCTGCACAAGCGGCTCTAGTCCTCCCCTGAGGACTGAGCAGAGCTGAACCAAGCAGTCCTCGCCCTGCCCACCACACCTGGGTGTCCTACATCCTTGTATATTTGAACCTGCTCTGCGAACTGGCTGGAACCCTCTCCCAGACCTACGCCTCCTGCCAGCCCCATCTGCCTGGTGAACTCCTATGCAGTGTTGCAGCCTTGCTTGGACACCTACTCCAGCCTTCGCACGGCCTCCCACAACTCGTCACCCACCGTGTGCACCAGGTCACACAGGGGGAGGCTCCATTCCCTGTCTGACTCCTCTACAGGTCTGTTTCTACCTCCACTGTGTGGGACACTACTTGAGGCCAGAAGCTGCAACTGCTTAGTGCCCTGTGCCCAGCCCTCGGCCCCATGGCAGGCTACCAATCACTACAGGTTTGCTGAACTAAATGAACAGCACTTTGGGCAACTCACTAAACCTCTATGAGCCTCAAATATAAAAAGGATAACACCTACCTCCTACGGCAGCTGCTGGACTACCTGGGGCAGGCAGGTAAAGCACCTCGCTCAGGGGCTGCCCACTGCACTTGTCCTGAGTGTTGGCATCCTGCCCCCGCCTCTCTCTACAGTCCCCTGAACCACTCTCCTCACGGATCAGTCACACATGAGCCAGCTTTTCCCTCTGAGCCTCATTACACCTCCAAACCACTGCTGGAACCTGGAATTTCACAAGAAACTGGAGCTGACAAGAGGGCTCTCACAGGAATGGAAGCCTCTGCATTCATTAAAAAAGAAAAGAGAGAACAGGAAGCATGGATGTGTATAAACACACACACACACACACACACACACACCCAGGAGGACCTGACACGGCCGAGCAAAGGAAGGCAGAGATTTCAGCAGTCAGATTCTTCCCCTACTCGGGCCCCATCTCACCCCAAAGCTTCACAGGAGACAATTACATCCCATCAGCATTAATAGATTTATGAGGACAAACTGTACTTAGTACACTGTTCCAAACGCTGTACGGTAAAGCCTGCTCCAATGAATATTTCATGTAATAAATCTACTTAAAGATAAATTAATATGTTCCATGGAATACACTTTATGCAGCAAGAAGAAAACCACAGATACTGCAAGTGTGAATCAAAACATCCACGCCACCCAGAGTCTAAACCAGGCTTGCACACTGTGATCTCCTGAGGGCAAGGTCAGAGTCTGACAGGCTCTGAGGCCCCCAGTCCTGCCCACGGCCTAGTGCTGGGAAGGCACAGCGAAGCAAGAGTGATGGAAAGAGAGAAAAATAGAGGGAGAGGGGCAGAAAAAATGCCACCCTCCCTCTGTTCCTCCTCCCTTTCAAATCCCCCACATCAGGGACTACAGAAGAATTACCATGTAACCTAGAAAGTCAGGAATATAAGGTGACTTCCATGTTGAAGACAATGGGCCAGTGGCATCCAAAACGGCATTAAGGTTGAGGGTGCATAGGAATGCCTTGCACCAGCTTGACAAAGTGAATTTTAGGGAAATAGATTAAAAAGTCAAATCACTATTTGTAACTTTTGTTTTGTTTTGTTTTGTTTTTTATCCTCACCCGAGGACACTTTTTCATTCTTTGTTCAGATAGAGCAGGAGGGAGGGAGGGAGGGAGGGAGGGAGGGAGAGAGAGAGAGAGAGAGAGAGAGAGAGAGAGAGACAAGAGAAACATCGATGTGAAAGGGACACATCGAGTGGCTGCCACCCGCACGACCAACCAGGGCCGGGGACAAACTGCAACCGAGGTACATGCCCTTAGTGGGAACCGAACCCAGGTCTCTCCGGACCGCAGGCCGACACTTTAACCGCTGAGCCAAACCGGCCAGGGCACTATTTGTAACTTTTATTTATATATGTTCCTTTATACACACACACATACATATGTGCATATTATATATAAAATAAAAATCATATCCTGACATACTTTTTCCCAATGCCCAGCTAACAAAATACTTTCCTCCTGAACTCTTCCTGTGCACCCTCAACCTTAATGCCTTTGCCCTGGAGTCAAGTTGAATCCTCCAAACAGTTTTCCAGAACCCATCGCCCTTGTCATATTTAAGATGTTAGATACAGTTTGGCTCAGCAGTTAGAGCATCAGCCCGCGGACCAGAGAGTCCTGGGTTCGGTTCCCACGGAGGGCACGTACCTCGGTTGTGGTTTGTCCCTGGCCCTGGTTGGGGTCGTGTGAATGGCAGCCACTTGATGTGTCTCTCTCGCATCGATGTTTCTCTCTCTCTCTTCCTCCCTCTCTCCCACCTGCTCCATCTGAAGATAAATGCAAAAATGTCCTCACTCCTTGGGTGAGGATAAAAAAAAAAAAAAGATGTTGGATATAGCTCCTTATGAAATTAAGTAGGACATCATCACTGGCAATGGTGTCCCAACCTACAAGAATCCATGTTCATATCATTAAGGCAGTTGATTTTTTCATCAGCCTATAATCATATTTGTTGCCACTTACTACCTTCCTTTCATTAGCGATTTTTAAAGGCTCACTCACATCAATAGTCCACATTTATGAGATCAAAATCCCAGGAATAATGACTATATCTGTTACATTTCTTTGCCTCCTTTTATTCTTTTTTTTTTTTTTAATCTCACCTGAGGACATTTTTTGTTCAGATAGAGTGGGAGGGAGAGAGAGGAAGAGAAAGAGAGAGAGAGAAACACTGACGTAAAAGGGGCACATCGAGTGGCTGCCTCCCGCACAACCCAACCAGGGCCGGGGACAAACTGCAACCGAGATACATGCCCTTAGCGGGAACCGAACCCGGTCTCTCTGGACCGCAGGTCGACGCTCTAACCGCTGAGCCAAACCGGCCAGGGCACCTCCTTTCACTCTTAATG